AGTATTGATTAAATCTTCAAATTTAAGTGGTTTCATTTAGCAACTATGGACTGAGATGAAGTGTTTACGTTCTTTACGTACGATGAATTCAAGATGTAATTTGGTATAAACCGGTTACAATATTTCATACGATTTAAAAAAAAAACTGGATTTTTTTTATAAAGTTCGCGGTACATAGAAACAAACGAGTGCATTGTACAGAATACCTACTTTTCATTGTCCACTCAGATAATATTTATTGTTAGTATGCAAATATTAATTCAGCTAGAATAAATAGAGATGTATAGAAGAAGGGAAAGTAAATATTATCTTAATATATGTAATAAATTTATATCTGAATCGACCAATGATCATTTTTTGTCGGTCGTTTAACATTCAATGTGATATAATAAATTTTGTGGAATATTGGCTGCAAGTTTCTTTTCGTATTTACATTTGTATTGAAATGTAAAAGTCGAAGTAATAGCGACATAAAAGTAATTTGATTTGTAGAAATGAATATTTAAAAACCTATGAATTTATAAATATTCCCACAGTAAGTGGTCCAGATTTTAAAACTTTAATAACTTCGTTAATGGAAGCAACAATTAGCTATACTCGTAAATATCAAGGAATGCCATATGCTCTCTATTAAATGCTCTAAAATGCTATGTTGTGCAAAAACTAATTAGTCAACATTCCACATACATGTATTGTCCGTATATATAGATTTGAAATAAACAGTAAATATATCATAACAAACATTCATATATGTATGCAAAACCTGCAGATATTTTAATCAGCTTACAATATTATTTGTCACCAGAAACACAGAGCATGCGCGGCCCCATAGTGGGTCATGACCCCACCCAAGGATTTGGCTAGTTCGTGGAACCCATGAGAGATCACTTGCAAAAATCACCAAATAACGCAGAAACAAGTGAAAATCAATAAATCTGACCTATGAACCTATGACCTCCTCTAAAAACATTGTAAAATGTTAAACCCTATGAATATATATGCATTTGGAAATCTTGCAGACCCCCCATCCCGGTGAAAAATCCTGGAACCGCTGTATGGAGTTCTAACCATATTACGTTTTTCCCCATTTCCCATTTACACTTAAGTGCTGTTTAGGGATGATCAATAAAACCGTGTGCAAAAGTACATCTTTAAAACACAAGTCTTTATAACTAGTCAAATTAACAAAATGTCTATGCTTTCATTGGTCCTACGACTTAATGTAAACAAACGCAATATGGCCTCTGTAATAAATAAATTAAGTATTGTCCTGTTGTTCCATAGAAAATTGATAAAACCCTAGCATTCAATAAACAAGATTTTTACGACAGCTATAAAATCAATCACAACACTGAAAAATACAAGTACAATGGCGTTTCAATCACACAAATAAGTTAGACAATATTCATTTCGATTGGCAATATCTATTTTGGTTTTATGTCTTTTGTCATACGATGTGATTGTTGCTTCTGTTCGGATTCAAATATTTATCACTCACAACTTTTGATCGATAAAGCAATAAAAAACTAGAAATGTGTCCATAGGACACTGATGCCCCCACACGCCACTGTTCTGTCAATCTTATGACTCTAGGTCAAATATTTTTTGGACTACATGTGCCACAAGTTGAAACTAAAAATCAACAAAGAGCCATAATTCTGTTAAATTTGTTCGCAGCAAAAATTCCTTCCTTTACTACCATCTACACATTAAGGTTGTTAATCCCTGGAAGTTTAAGCAAAATCTGCCATCCGGTTTAAGAGGAGTTGCGTTCACAAAATTTCTACATAGTAATTAAATGAAAAAATCAACAAAGGGCCATAATTCTGTTAAATTTGGTTGCAGCAAAAATTCCTTCCTTTACTGCCATCAACACATTAAGGTTGTTCATCCCTGGAAGTTTAAGCAAAATCTGCCATCCGGTTTAAGAGGAGTGCATTCACAAAATTTTCTACATAGTATATAGTGAAAAAATCAACAAAGGGCCATAATTCTTTTAAATTTGTGGTCGCAGCAAAAATTCCTTCCTTTACTACCATCTAACACATTAAGGTTGTTCATCCCTGTAAGTTAGAGCAAAATCTGCCATCCGGTTTAAGAGGAGTTGCGTTCACAAAATTTCTACATAGTATATAGTGAAAAAATCAACAAAGGGCCATAATTCTGTTAAATTTGGTCGCAGCAAAAATTCCTTCCTTTACTACCATCTACACATTAAGGTTGTTCATCCCTGTAAGTTTAAGCAAAATCTGCCATCCGGTTTAAGAGGAGTTGCGTTCACAAAATTTCTACATAGTAGTATAGTGAAAAAATCAACAAAGGGCCATAATTCTGTTAAATTTGGTTGCAGCAAAAATTCCTTCCTTTACTACCATCACACATTAAGGTTGTTCATCCCTGGAAGTTTAAGCAAAATCTGCCATCCGGTTTAAGAGGAGTTGCATTCACAAAATTTCTACATAGTATATAGTGAAAAAATCAACAAAGGGCCATAATTCTGTTAAATTTGGTCGCAGCAAAAATTCCTTCCTTTACTACCATCTACACATTAAGGTTGTTCATCCCTGTAAGTTAGAGCAAAATCTGCCATCCGGTTTAAGAGGAGTTGCGTTCACAAAATTTCTACATAGTATATAGTGAAAAAATCAACAAAGGGCCATAATTCTGTTAAATTTGGTCGCAGCAAAAATTCCTTCCTTTACTACCATCTACACATTAAGGTTGTCCATCCCTGTAAGTTTAAGCAAAATCTGCCATCCGGTTTAAGAGGAGTTGCGTTCACAAGATTTCGGGACGTACGGACGGACGGACGGACTGACAGACTGACGGACGGACGGACAAATGCAACGCTATATGCTCCCACATTGTGGGGGCATAAAAACTCTCATAAAGGGGAGACTACTCTAACAATTTGGTTTCTAAACTTTACATGATTTACTGTTTCATGACAATTTTCTTTAAGCTGAGCTTTAAAATTATATATAAATAAAATAAATCAACATTAATGAATTTTCACATCTTTTTATTTTCATATTTATTTACATTAAGTTCTGGTCAATACAATAAAATATTTGTTATTATTTGTTTATGTTTTTTTTCTCTCATATGCAGTTATGCATCAGACAATATGCATATACATGATGTTATTATATTTTTATCAAATAGAAACCACCGACTCTAGTACGATTCGGACATTAACCATACTTTACTAGTTGAACATTTTTGTTCTTTTTACGGTGATCTTTTCGCCACATAGTTAACTATCAATAATCATATAACTTTACAATCTCAATATTCCGCAAAAGCATTGTTAATTATGCCTCCAATGCTCTTAAAATTGTTTGCTAAAATCACTACTCACCAGTTTTATTAATACACATATTTTTTAAAACTCCCCACTTCACTGTTGATCTTATAAATTTGATGGCCACATAAAGCAGCTTTCAAAACTGCAATAATTTTCAAGTCACCAATCATTATAAAACTAGAACTATCACTAAATGTGATTAATACCCCCACAAGACTGCTTCGAAAATGAGGAAGTTACTAGTAACAGAATATCTTGTAAAAGAATTAAAATATAGAGTTATGGTTGTGGGCAATTAAAGATAGTTGTGGTTCTTGTATATTGCATTTCCTTTCAATGTAGTTGGCCATTGATGAAGTTTTATTGAATTACTCTGTCATAAGTCCAGAAAGACAAAGAAAAGGAACAAAGGGCAATAACTCTATAAATACTGAAGATGGAGTTATAGTTCTTGTGCACTGCACTTTTCCTCTTTTTTGCTTGACCATTGTATGAAGTTGTTTTGAATTTCAACCAGTACGTTTAAGTTATGCTCCAGACAAGGAAAAGTATCATAGGGCAGTAACCTGTATTTTTGTCAAAATGGAGTTATGGCTCTTATGCACTGCACTTCCTTTTAAATGTCCTTGACAACTGATGAAGTTGTATTGAATTCCAAACAGAAGTTTTCAAGTTATGCTCTGGACAAGGAAAAGTAACAAAGGGCAATAACTCTGTAATTTGTCAAGATGGAGTTATGGTTCTTGTGCACTGCACTTCCTCTCAATGTGCTTGACCATTGTATGAAGTTATATTGAATTCCAACCATTAGTCTTCAAGTTATGCTCCGGACAAAAAAAAAGCAATGGAAAAGTAACAAAGGGCAGATAACTCTGTAATTAGTCAAGATGGAGTTATGGTTCTTGTGCACTGCACTTCCTCTCAATGTGCTTGACCATTGTATGAAGTTATAAAGAATTCCAACAATTAGTCTTTAAGTTATACTCCGGACAAAAGAAAGCAATGGAAAAGTAACAAAGGGCAATAACTCTGTAATTACTTTAGATAGAGTTATGGTTCTTATGCACTGCACTTCCCCTTACTGTGTTTGACAATTGTATGAAGTTGTTTTGAATTCCAACCAGCAATTTTCAAGTTATGCCCCGGACAAGGAAAAGTAACAAAGGGCAATAACTCTGTAATTAGTCAAGATAGAGTTATGGTTCTTGTGCACTGCACTTCCTCTCAATGTGCTTGACCATTGTATGAAGTTATATTGAATTCCAACCATTAGTCTTCAAGTTATGGTCCGGACAAAAGAAAGCAATGGAAAAGTAACAAAGGGCAATAACTCTGTAATTACTTTAGATAGAGTTATGGTTCTTGTGCACTGCACTTCCCCTTATTGTGTTTGACAATTGTATGAAGTTGTTTTGAATTCCAACCAGTAGTTTTCAAGTTATGCCCCGGACAAGGAAAAGTAACAAAGGGCAATAACTCTGTAATTAGTCAAGATAGAGTTATGGTTCTTGTGCACTGCACTTCCTCTCAATGTGCTTGACCATTGTGTGTAGTTATATTGAATTCCAACCATTAGTCTTCAAGTTATGGTCCGGACAAGGAAAATGCAACGGACGTCTGGACCGACCGACCGACCAACCGACCACCGGGTGACTCCTATATACCCCCCAAACTTCGTTTTTGGGGGTATAATGACATCATGGCTTCAAAAGAACACCATACACAATAAAGATGGCAGATATTTCCATTGCAGTTGATGGGTCAGGCTTGTTTATCCATTTTGTTGAGCTCCCATTCTGTTCGGGTCCTGGGATGGGTAATGCATCTGCGGAACCTGGCCACGGGGCATGACACCTGGTGGGGGTCTCAACGGCATCATACCAGGGGGAGGGGGCGGCAGTCTCACACCTACAAAACAAATATAGAGTGAGTCAGAAAAAAATATTATTTACAATGTATCTAAAATAAATTATTTCCAAGGAAAGTTCTGAACAGACAAAATTTTTGGTGACTGGTTTTATCAAAGTATAAATAATCTCTGTAAGGCACAGAAAATCCTGACAAATATCCACAATTTTCTTATGGATGGATCACCTTAAGAACAATAAATTAGGGCTGGGAACGAATAAGGAATTTGATGTTCGAATATTCGTTTTCCATATTCAAATATATTCAAATATTCGTTTTTACAACATTTATTCCAATATTTCTCTTTGACGTATACGTATCCGAAACTGATTGCGTCGAATATTATACTACTTAAATATACTTGGAATAATCGACGATTAAAAATACCTATATTACTACTTAAAAGTTTTTTATTTTATATATTGTAAATCGACATAAATGTTTACTTTTGAAATAAATTTATAATTTGATTGCCTTTTGTTCAGTTAATCCGACTGCTGATCATTTGTCTTATTAACGGGCGGTAATTCACGTGACTTGATTGACTGTAATATGAATCACCGTAGCCTCTTAGCCCCAAAAACACATAATTTAAATTGAAACTTTATTTGAATTAAATATATTTTTTATTTATTTATAATTTTAGATGAGGTTTAAAATATTCTTCAGATAAATTTAGCTATAACGCAGTAAATATCACACGGAGTCTAGTTTCTACGGAATAAATATATGTTGACAGAATATAGACACTGTCCATGCTTTCATAAAGCACCGATTAATGCATGTCGATTTTTTCGTCTTCACAAAATTTAAGACAATTACTAATTAATCGGAAAGATTATTGCACAGAAAACAATAAATAAGATAATTAAAATCGGAAAGAATTACATTATATTCTGTTAAACAGGTAAATAGCAAACTGTGAAACAGGTGCACTTTTGATCAACTAGACACCAAAGTTTTCACAGTTAATTGGTGATAATCGTTGACACGCGTCATACAAACGTGTGAACACCTGGTCAAGTAAAGGTAAATGGTTTACTTTACGATCTTAATTGAAATTTGAAAGTAATAACAAAAAAAAACACTCTTTTTTTCGAATAATCGTATTTGTTTTTCAATGTTAGAATATTCGGTAGTGTTTCGAATATTCGAATATAATTCCCGGCCCTACAATAAATGATGAACAAATGGCAGTTTATCATAGACAAACTACATTGTAACGTGATAATATAAAGTTTAAGATTGAGAGAAAAAGTGACAAACTAACTTGATAATATAAAGTTTAAGTTTGAGAGAAAAAGTGACAATCAATTTACTATACTACTTAATTTACAATATCAAGTTTAAGCTGGACATATTGTGGAGGGGAATATTTTTGATTTATTTAAGTATATATTGAAATATAAAATCTGATCTGGGACTATTTACCTGGCGGAGGTGGACCTCTTATAAACATGGGCATCATATGAGGTGGTCCTCTTGGTGGCATTGGATGTCTCATCTGCATCGGGTGCATTGGTGGTGCCCCGCTCAAATTGAAGAAATTGTTAGCTAATTCCCCTGGTGGGTGTGGTAAAGCTGAAACAAAAAAATATTCAAGTGTTTGAAAAATTGAAAAAAAATGTTTCCTTTCATAGCCTTATCTTTTTATTCTCATACTTCAAATTTACTTTTTGATAAAGTCAAATGGCATGTTCATTTCGATTGAATACCTTTAAGACCACAATGCATAGTTATCATAAAAATACTGCACTTATTGACTTAAAGTTATATTAAAACTGTTTAAGGAAGGCAATATTATTTTTTCATGCTACAGTCATGCCCTCTGTCAATTACATGTAACTGGGAATTCCTCTTGGCATTGTTTCAAGTTCCATCAAGCACCTTTATAAGTCTATTCCTTACAACACAAATAATTTCCCTCTAACATTATTCACCAACAAGATGGCAGATTTCCTTCTTTTTTAATGGAATATACCACTTGTCCACAATTATATATATATACACAAAAGCACACTCCTTGTAAGTTTGGTAAAACCAACATTGTTTATGCATGTATGTATTCTGAACACTTTCTAACACATGAATATTCTAACAAGAAATTTATAAAAATAATAATAAGTTGGCTACAAACCCTAAACAAATTGACAAAATTACCTTTTGTATATCTAAATATAACTTTTACAAACCGTTGTAAATAAATTTGTTATAAGAATGATAAATACCTCCAGGAAGGCCAGGGACCGGCTCAAGATTCTTTTCTTCTTCTTTCTCCTCTTCCTTCTCTTGACCTTGTTGACCTTGAGATTTCCCCCATTTAATATTCAGTCTCCGCCCATTTAAAATGAGTTTGTTGAAAGACTTTTCTGAGGCTGCCTCGGCAGATGAACGTGATGTAAACTGTACAAATGCACATTGTTGTTTAGCTACCACATTTATTGAACGTATTTCTCCAAACTGATAGAAATAATCTCTGAAAAATAAATAGCAATACAAAATAACCTTAATTTTGGTAAATGGATTAAGACTGCAATAAACTGTAAGAAAAATCAATCTTTTTTTGCAGTCCAAGTTACCCAAATGATGAGTTAATTATAGAATAACATGCAATCTTAAAGTAATATTATGCATATCTTTAAATATAAAGTTGTGAGCTTCAGAGCACACTATACACACTGTGTTATGTACCTTTACATGGGTTAAACAGCCTTATGGGTATATGAAAGGTATTTTACTTCAGAATTCTAGGTGAAAATGTTTGAAAAAAGGCCTGCTTCAAACAACAGCAGTGAGGGACAAATGAATCCAAAACTATAAAGAAAGAGAACAAAATCTAAATAAATTTATAATGACACTAAAATAACTTACTTAAGATCTTTTTCAGTCACCTTGTCTCCCAGACCACCGACATACAATGTTGTGATAGTTTTATCTTCAGGCGACTCCAGTTTGGGCATGGATGAATATCTGTTCATAAGCTTGTCGGCAACTGGATCATTTAACCCGTAGAATCTGTCCTTGATATTTTGGTCAGCCAACGGGTCATCTGGATCAGTCGGCTTCTCATGTCTGTAAACAATTAATGTCAATGTTATTTTTCCACTTTTCTCTCTTTTTTGTACAAATGTGTTTAGAAGGAGGTTTAAATATCAAGTCTTAAAAGCACTAAACATTCTGAGATCACTAAGCACAGTGTCTTTTCTAGGATTAACAAGATATGTTTGTAAAACATGTATGCCCCCTATCAGCAGCCAATTAGTCATGTGATAAGGTTATTATGCATGACTTCTGACCCAGTGATCAAACAATTAATAAGGGTTATCAAGTATCTACTGGTCATGACCTTAACCTTTGACCTGTTGACCCAAAACTCAATAGGGGTCATCTGCTGGTCACGACCAATCATCATACAAAGTTTGAAGTTCCTAGGCCTAAGCGATTTTAGTTAATTGATCGGAAACCGTTTTTACCTTCAAGTTCAATGTGACCTTGACCTTTGACCCCTTGACCCCAAAATCAATAGGTCATCTGCTGGTCATGACCAATCACCATACCAAGTTTGAAGTTCCTAGGCCTAAGGGTTCTTTAGTTATTGATCGGAAACTGTTTTAACATACAAGGTCAATGTGAACTTGACCTTTGACCCCAAAATCAATAGGGGTCATCTGCTGGTCATGACCAATCACTATGCCAAGTTTGAAGTTCCTAGACCGAAGTGTTCTTAAGTTATTGATTTGAAAGCATTTTTACCTACAAGGTCAATGTGACCTTGCCCTTTGACCCCTTAACCCCAATATCAATAGGGGTCATCTGCTGGACATGACCAATCACCATACCAAGTTTGAAGTTCCTAGGCCTAAGGGTTCTTTAGTTATTGATCGGAAACCGTTTTTACCTAAGAGGTCAATGTGACCTTGACCTTTGACCCCTTAACCCCAAAATCAATAGGGGTCATCTGCTGGTCATGACTAATCACCATACCAAGTTTGAAGTTCCTAGGCCTAAGGGTTCTCTTGTTATTGATCAGAAACCGTTTTTACCCAAGAGGTCAATGTGACCTTGACCTTTGACCCCTTCACCCCAAAATCAATAGGGGTCATCTGCTGGTCATGACTAATCACCATACCAAGTTTGAAGTTCTTAGGCCTAAAGGTTCTTTTGTTATTGATCAGAAACCGTTTTTACCCAAGAGGTCAATGTGACCTTGACCTTTGACCCCTTGACCCCAAAATCAAAAGGGGTCATCTACTGATCATGACCAATCACCATACCAAGTTTGAAGT